ATTTTTTTTTTTTTTTTTTTTTTGACAACCGTGCAATTTTGATCTTACATTGGAAGATAGGTAGGTCTTAGCCCAGCAAGATATTTCTTAGAGTTTTTTAGCCAACACTGCTGTGCCCACAACAATTTACCATGTCTGAGTCGGTGGAGACACGGAGTGCGAGAGAGTTGAATCCATTCGCCAAGAGCACAGAGAGGTGAGGGCAGAGGGCGGCGCAGCTGGCGGTGGTGATCTCTCTCTGAAACTGAGCCGATGACGTGAGGACAGCAGACAGTGAGACGTCTGAAGACTTCAGCAGATAGAAGACCTGATGGGAGAGATAGGACATGAAGCAGAGAAGACACCAATAAAATTCCTCCTTTTGCAGGCATCATGCTGTACACACCTCAGTACACCTGATGGTTTGGCCGTCCATCTCAAACTCTGAGTCCTGTTGAATCTTGACGCTTGACACTCCCTCTAGAGACCTGCCATCCACCGGACTGATGACTCTGCAAACATGTTACACGTTATACTGTCTTAGGGGAATTATTTTTGACCTGACACAGCATCTTAACAGTCAAAGGAAGCTGAAAGAATGAATATTAAATAGTGCCTAATTAATGCAGCTAACATTTTCAAGGTCACTTGCAACATTGGCCAAATAGATCAATAGTGCTTTATCATTCAGTAAAGTGGTTATTCAGTACAGTATTGGCATACAAAACCTGCATAAGAAAGCATCTGATGAGAATGTACACTACTGGCCAAAAGTTTGGAATAATTAAGATTTTTTTTTTTTTAAGTATCTTCTGCTCACAAAGGCTGCATATATTTGATAAAAATACAGTAAAAATAGTGAAATATTATTACAATTTAAAAGAACAGTTTTCTAATTGCGTATTTTAAATAGTAATTCCTGTGATTTATTCCCGTGTTTTCAACATTGATAATAACAATGTTAACCAGCAAATCAGCATATTAGAATGATTTCTGAAGGATCATGTGACACTGAAGACTGGAGTAATGATGATGGAAATCCAGCTTTGATCACAGGAATAAATTTTGAATGATTTCTGAAGGATCATGTGACACTGAAGACTAGAGTAATGATGCTGAAAATTCAGCTTTGAATCACAGGAATTAATTTGAAAATATATTCAAATAGGAAACAGTTATTTTCAAATTGTAAACATATTACTGTTTATACTGTGTTTTGATCAAATAAATGCATCCTTAAGTGAGCAGAAGAGTTTTCTTTCAAAAACAGTAAGAAAATCTTAATTATTCCAAACTTTTGATAAGTGTAAATGTATCTGATAAATTGTTGGTACCCAGAGTTGACAGGTGCAGTCCAGTCGACCCAGCGTACATTCACATTTTCCCGTGTCTCATCCGAATCTGCCTTCCCACAGGGGATCTGAAAGTCAGTTTGGTCCCTGAGGGCCTGTCGTAAACCTTCCATGGTCTCCGGAGGGATTTGCACCATTAACCCGTCTAAAGATGAAGAAGGACAGTTTGACGATAAAACTTTTTGAGCATAATGACCTAAGGAAGTGTTTGAAAATGATTTGTGTGTCAGCTTTACCCTCCACAATGCTGGATTTGGCAATGAATCCTGATGAGGCTTTCAGAGCACCGTTAAAAACCACAAAACTAGCTCCAGTCACTGCAAAAGAAAGACAGGGTCCGGTGAGACATCCACTTATCATATTACATAACAAATATTATACAACAAACAACTTGAGTGATTTCACACTAAAACCTTTGGTGCTAACCAAAGTACATTTGAAAGTTTGGTTTTCCTAAAGATTTTGATCAAATTAAACTAGTTTTGCGATCCTTGTCTTGCAACTTGCAAGTATCACAGCGTAAATACAAAGATGTTTTAATATCACCTCAGATATAAAATGTTAGTACTGGTAAGATTAAATAATCATCAAAATATTTTTATGCATATAAATGAAAACGATTAAATACAATTTTTTCTTTGTGTTAATTCAGTCAAAAACAGTAAGAAAACATGCGTTGATTATTTTTCACGAATATATATATGTAGGTAAAATAATGTGTATTATGTAATATTATTTTTGTGTATATAAATAAAAACGATTAAATGTAATTTTTTTTCTTTGTGTTAATTCAGTCAAAAACAGTAAGAAAACATGCTTTGATTATTTTAAATAAATATATGTAGTTGAAATAATCTGTTTTATGTAATGTTATTTTGGTGCAAAAAAATTATTAAACGCATTTTCTTTATGTAAATTCAATTAAAAACCACTTTTCACTTGATTTTTCGATTTTGCATTAAATATTTTGAATCTACTTGACTACAATGGCTTGAAATTATTTAAATGTTGGTCCCTCTGATTGAAAAAGAAAACTGTTTTAAGACATTCAAGAGAATACACAAAGTTATTAAAGATTTTTAGCTATATCGCCCAGCTCTAGTAGAAGTGACTAACAAACCTCTCCTGGTTTTTCCTGGTATACTGTTGGCTTGCGTCTGGTAGCTTCCGTCCTCGTTCTGCATGCAAACCAAGTGAGAATCAGCCTCAGTGCTGAAACAGGCGCCGAAACTGATCACGTGTTCATTGGAGGAGTTCACCACCTTCAGCATCTATAACAGCCAGAACACCACAACACATTCAACAACACAATAACAATGATGCCTGACTGCTGCACAATTCAAATATAACTCTGACCTCATTAAACCTGGACTTAGGAATGTCGATGTAGCTGTTGCCCATCTCCATGTGCACTCGCAGACTTTCCACCACAGGTAAACTGTACTGGTAGTTCCTCAGATCCTGTGTCAGAATCAACAAAACTCAAGAATGAAGGTGGATCCAAAGATTTGGGGTTACAAGGCCTAAAGTTAAAGGGATAGTTCACCCAAAAATCTAAATTTGCTGAAAATGTCCTCACCCACAGGCCATCCAAGATGTAGATGACTTTGTTTCTTTAAGAGAACAGATATGGAGAAATGTAGCATTACATTACTTGCTCAGCAATGGATGCTCTGCAGTGAATGGGTGCCATCAGAATGAGAGTCCAAACAGCTGATAAAAACATCAAAATAATCCACAAGTAACCCACACCACTCCAGTCCATCAATTAGCATCTTCTGAAACCAAAAGAGGCATGTTTGTAAGAAACAAATCCATCATTAAGATAGTTTTAACTTCAAACCATCGCTTCCGGAAAATCTTAGACCATAATCCATAATAACATTTCCTCCAGTGAAATTTGTTTTTGTTTCTTACAAACACGCAGCTTTTCTCTTCACAAGACATTAATTGATGGACTGGAGTGGTGTGGATTACTTGTGGATTATTGTGATGTTTTTATCAGCTGTTTGGACTCTCA